AACTTTATAGCTCGTAATTCTGACTTTATATCTCACAATTTTGACTTTATAGCTCGTAATTGTGACTTTCTATCTCACAATTGTGACTTTATAGCTTGTAATTGTGACTTTCTATCGCGCAATTGTGACTTTATAGCTCGTAATTGTGACTTTCTATCTCGCAATTCTGACTTTATAGCTCGTAATTGTGACTTTCTATCTCGCAATTCTGACTTTATAGCTCGTAATTGTGACTTTCTATCTCGCAATTCTGACTTTATAGCTCGTAATTGTGACTTTCTATCTCGCAATTCTGACTTTATAGCTCGTAATTGTGACTTTCTATCTCGCAATTCTGACTTTATAGCTCGTAATTGTGACTTTCTATCTCGCAATTCTGACTTTATAGCTCGTAATTGTGACTTTCTATCTCGCAATTCTGACTTTATAGCTCGTAATTGTGACTTTCTATCTCGCAATTCTGACTTTATAGCTCGTAATTGTGACTTTCTATCTCGCAATTCTGACTTTATAGCTCGTAATTGTGACTTTCTATCTCGCAATTCTGACTTTATAGCTCGTAATTGTGACTTTCTATCTCGCAATTCTGACTTTATAGCTCGTAATTGTGACTTTCTATCTCGCAATTCTGACTTTATAGCTCGTAATTGTGACTTTCTATCTCGCAATTCTGACTTTATAGCTCGTAATTGTGACTTTCTATCTCGCAATTCTGACTTTATAGCTCGTAATTGTGACTTTCTATCTCGCAATTCTGACTTTATAGCTCGTAATTGTGACTTTCTATCTCGCAATTCTGACTTTATAGCTCGTAATTGTGACTTTCTATCTCGCAATTCTGACTTTATAGCTCGTAATTGTGACTTTCTATCTCGCAATTCTGACTTTATAGCTCGTAATTGTGACTTTCTATCTCGCAATTCTGACTTTATAGCTCGTAATTGTGACTTTCTATCTCGCAATTCTGACTTTATAGCTCGTAATTGTGACTTTCTATCTCGCAATTCTGACTTTATAGCTCGTAATTGTGACTTTCTATCTCGCAATTCTGACTTTATAGCTCGTAATTGTGACTTTCTATCTCGCAATTCTGACTTTATAGCTCGTAATTGTGACTTTCTATCTCGCAATTCTGACTTTATAGCTCGTAATTGTGACTTTCTATCTCGCAATTCTGACTTTATAGCTCGTAATTGTGACTTTCTATCTCGCAATTCTGACTTTATAGCTCGTAATTGTGACTTTCTATCTCGCAATTCTGACTTTATAGCTCGTAATTGTGACTTTCTATCTCGCAATTCTGACTTTATAGCTCGTAATTGTGACTTTCTATCTCGCAATTCTGACTTTATAGCTCGTAATTGTGACTTTCTATCTCGCAATTCTGACTTTATAGCTCGTAATTGTGACTTTCTATCTCGCAATTCTGACTTTATAGCTCGTAATTGTGACTTTCTATCTCGCAATTCTGACTTTATAGCTCGTAATTGTGACTTTCTATCTCGCAATTCTGACTTTATAGCTCGTAATTGTGACTTTCTATCTCGCAATTCTGACTTTATAGCTCGTAATTGTGACTTTCTATCTCGCAATTCTGACTTTATAGCTCGTAATTGTGACTTTCTATCTCGCAATTCTGACTTTATAGCTCGTAATTGTGACTTTCTATCTCGCAATTCTGACTTTATAGCTCGTAATTGTGACTTTCTATCTCGCAATTCTGACTTTATAGCTCGTAATTGTGACTTTCTATCTCGCAATTCTGACTTTATAGCTCGTAATTGTGACTTTCTATCTCGCAATTCTGACTTTATAGCTCGTAATTGTGACTTTCTATCTCGCAATTCTGACTTTATAGCTCGTAATTGTGACTTTCTATCTCGCAATTCTGACTTTATAGCTCGTAATTGTGACTTTCTATCTCGCAATTCTGACTTTATAGCTCGTAATTGTGACTTTCTATCTCGCAATTCTGACTTTATAGCTCGTAATTGTGACTTTCTATCTCGCAATTCTGACTTTATAGCTCGTAATTGTGACTTTCTATCTCGCAATTCTGACTTTATAGCTCGTAATTGTGACTTTCTATCTCGCAATTCTGACTTTATAGCTCGTAATTGTGACTTTCTATCTCGCAATTCTGACTTTATAGCTCGTAATTGTGACTTTCTATCTCGCAATTCTGACTTTATAGCTCGTAATTGTGACTTTCTATCTCGCAATTCTGACTTTATAGCTCGTAATTGTGACTTTCTATCTCGCAATTCTGACTTTATAGCTCGTAATTGTGACTTTCTATCTCGCAATTCTGACTTTATAGCTCGTAATTGTGACTTTCTATCTCGCAATTCTGACTTTATAGCTCGTAATTGTGACTTTCTATCTCGCAATTCTGACTTTATAGCTCGTAATTGTGACTTTCTATCTCGCAATTCTGACTTTATAGCTCGTAATTGTGACTTTCTATCTCGCAATTCTGACTTTATAGCTCGTAATTGTGACTTTCTATCTCGCAATTCTGACTTTATAGCTCGTAATTGTGACTTTCTATCTCGCAATTCTGACTTTATAGCTCGTAATTGTGACTTTCTATCTCGCAATTCTGACTTTATAGCTCGTAATTGTGACTTTCTATCTCGCAATTCTGACTTTATAGCTCGTAATTGTGACTTTCTATCTCGCAATTCTGACTTTATAGCTCGTAATTGTGACTTTCTATCTCGCAATTCTGACTTTATAGCTCGTAATTGTGACTTTCTATCTCGCAATTCTGACTTTATAGCTCGTAATTGTGACTTTCTATCTCGCAATTCTGACTTTATAGCTCGTAATTGTGACTTTCTATCTCGCAATTCTGACTTTATAGCTCGTAATTGTGACTTTCTATCTCGCAATTCTGACTTTATAGCTCGTAATTGTGACTTTCTATCTCGCAATTCTGACTTTATAGCTCGTAATTGTGACTTTCTATCTCGCAATTCTGACTTTATAGCTCGTAATTGTGACTTTCTATCTCGCAATTCTGACTTTATAGCTCGTAATTGTGACTTTCTATCTCGCAATTCTGACTTTATAGCTCGTAATTGTGACTTTCTATCTCGCAATTCTGACTTTATAGCTCGTAATTGTGACTTTCTATCTCGCAATTCTGACTTTATAGCTCGTAATTGTGACTTTCTATCTCGCAATTCTGACTTTATAGCTCGTAATTGTGACTTTCTATCTCGCAATTCTGACTTTATAGCTCGTAATTGTGACTTTCTATCTCGCAATTCTGACTTTATAGCTCGTAATTGTGACTTTCTATCTCGCAATTCTGACTTTATAGCTCGTAATTGTGACTTTCTATCTCGCAATTCTGACTTTATAGCTCGTAATTGTGACTTTCTATCTCGCAATTCTGACTTTATAGCTCGTAATTGTGACTTTCTATCTCGCAATTCTGACTTTATAGCTCGTAATTGTGACTTTCTATCTCGCAATTCTGACTTTATAGCTCGTAATTGTGACTTTCTATCTCGCAATTCTGACTTTATAGCTCGTAATTGTGACTTTCTATCTCGCAATTCTGACTTTATAGCTCGTAATTGTGACTTTCTATCTC